TTTGTTCGTATTAAACGGTCAATAACATGAATACCAACGTTATATAGAAACAAGTTACCGGTCATGCAACATGTTTTATGATACATTAAGTTGCGAAGATCTTGATGATGTGGAGGCTCCATCGATGTTCTTTTACGCAAAAATCACTTTTCACACCGGAGTTGGATCGGTGGCCTCCAGTGCACTACAATTGCCCATTCGGTCGTGATTATGGAGTCGCTCTCACCCCAAAGTTCATCTCCTCTCTGACTGTTCAACTATCTGAATTGATTAAATACAATTTGTTAATTGTTACCTAACTGTGCGGTGTACGGAACAGTACTGCGCACGGTGGTTGGAAGAATTAAAGCTGCTAGCAAGATACTGATACATNGTTTGGCAGCTCATTCAATCAGTTGACCATGTGCCTTTTTGGTGGATGACATCGTGTACAGAACACAGCCGGTTTGATATGATTGGATCCGATTAGCAATATGATTGCATCGGTTCAATCGAGGATTGAACCCAGGCACTCACAGGTAGGAAGCAAAGATGCTCCCCACTGCATCACTAGCCAGCTTACAAGAATGGATTGTGCTTTATCGTCTGTAAATAAAATAGAAAAAGGTTTCATCAAGTTCCCGTTGGTCAAGTGGGTAGTATGCTTGCGTTCTACCTGTGAGATATCGGTTTCAAAGCTACGTTGCGCTGATGGGTTCGCACTGTTGATAAGATCCAGCCAGGTCTCAACCACTGCACAGTGTCCCCTAGTTTTCCACGTTCCGTTTGTCTATACACGCAAAAATTCACTATTAGACCCCATAAAAAGTAACGCAAGAACCGCAAACTGTCCAACTGTCGGCGAAAGATCCCCACAGCAGGCCACTCAGAATGATGTGCTATAGATTTGATTTGGTCATGTCGTAACCACCCTGATGGTCCAATCGTGAGCTGTCTTAGGGACAACGAAGACAACTTGTCTATATTCTGGTATCAGATCACGGTAGAATTTAAGGATTCACACCTCAGTTTCGTGGCGTTAAATGTTGATTGCACTGAGGAATCGACCGTCCCTCTCTTAGGAATGACATCTTCCTTCAATGTTAACGTATTGACAAAGATTGTCTTCACAGTTTATGGGATTTTCTCCCATTTCCTTGGTTCTTTCCCGTTGTTCATCCATAAGCTTTTCCGAAAGCCTGCTTTTGACAAATTTTTCCTCATTATCCCAGTGCCGTCTGAACCAATACAATACACTCTATATTCAAGGCATTGCATTGATTTCCACTTATTGCTAGTTGGCACATCACTGGGAAAGTTTATTTGCCGGTCCACGCAATTTTGCGAAAGACTTCCCTCGGGAAGCCTGCATAACTCAACATCCAAGAACGCCAAACTATTCTATTCTAACATATACGTAAAACTTATAGTTGTCTGGTCTGAACTGAATTTTGCTAAGATATTGACTTGGCTGGTTACTTTATCGGTCATGCATAACTATAATCTACATATCTAACATAACGATCGCTTGATAACTATCCAGGTTTTGGTGCTCCCAATTACACTAAGAAAATGTCCGTCAAAAGTGATTTGAACGGAGATCCCATTGCTACCCAATCTTTTTAGCGTATTTTTAAATGTAAATCACACAATTCATGTACACACAAGCAGTAGTAGTTCTTGGTTGTTAGCGCTTAGAATACCAGTGGTCATTTTTCCTTTATCAAGATAATCACAGAAATTTCACCATTCCCACTGAAGATGGTTTCGTTAACAAGGAAAACAACTATTATAGTGCGATTATTTATTTCTCTTCCATCTTTACATTATTAATAACTATCCAGAACTGTGTACTTCACATGCTTTTGATAGTCTGGTTCCGAAATTTCAAGTGCACCTTTCGTTCCACTGATGTTCGTCCTGCTACAAGCAAACTGTGCAAATGGATCGGTGAACACCACACGCGATGATCATGGACACGAAGAAACGAGATGGTAGTGCAGTAAATGCCCACCTGGTACAGATGAATCACTCGGACGATTCCAAATCAAACTTTTCTGTCATTCTCCCACAAGTTCTCATGGCTTCGGACACTACCGACCGTTTAATGTGTTTCAGCTGCAAACTGATCCAGGTTCTGCTATCACCCTGACCGAAAGTTTATCTTATTTTGCGTTACCAAAGCTATGAAGTAATTTAGTGAGATGACGCACCCTGGTCACCGTCCTTATGTGTCACATGGTTCTTTTCCATTGCTTTGTTTTCTCCTCCCCCACGCCTAGTATGGTGTAAACAGAATTATTTGATTCCAGCCTTCTTAACCCACTCAATCAGAATAAATGTGGTCATAATGACTGGAGAATCAAACCAGCGGTAAAGCCTTGTATTCTGATTTTGGTCACCATCTGAAATTTTCCAAACATTATCCGAATACAGTTCGGTTTACAAATTTCATCAACTACTCTCACTTACTTTTCCACATGCCACACACCCCCGCCCCCTCCTTTGCTGTGAACAGGTTTTTGTTGCCTTGATCAACAACCTGATCACATTCGTTCCGGTGTTTCTCGTGACCTACATGTTTCGCAGCTCTCGTTTGCATACCAGTCACGCGACGAAGTTGCGCGAGGTGGTCGAGGATCATTTAAACGAGTCAATCGACAAGGACCAATTGCCACCAATCACTCAGACGGCCTCTATTCAACAACGAGCTCTTAAAACCGCTATGTTCTATAACAAGTCAGTCCAAGCGTTTTTTGTGTTTCTTCTTAAGAGACCCCGTTCAATTAGATTATCTATTTTGCAGTTTGAACCACAGAACTTGGAAATCTGATTCCAATTCTTTCTATCAATTTTAAGCTCTGCAATCGCTATCCATGGTTAGCTATTTTTAACAATCACATTGTGGTGCTTACTCGTCAAACATTCAGAGGTTCAGTGTCTGGGCATAGGGTGCTTTTACATTTACGATTTATGACCCTGGATTTCTCTTATCAGTTTGACCTCTAAGACGTTGGGTCATTGATTGTACCAATCACTTGGAAATGTGTTCAGACATTCGCTGTACCTAGGGCCGATTCGTTCTGCCGATGTAAGTGTCACCGCAACTGCAGGTGAACTGGTAGACGATGTGCGAAGCAGAATTGTTTGGCTGGTTCTGTTTTCGCTTGTTTAAACGAATTCCTTGGGTATACGGTATCAATCGAAGCTGTGCGACAGGAAACGTTCGACACAGTGCCGCCTTGAGCTTTTGACGCACTTCGTTCACTATGATCACCTTTAAAGACGAGTCTGAGGAAGACACTCTTTCTCGGTACTTCTCAGACAAGATCAACCAGTGTCTTTCGTCTGCTATGCACATCAGTAAATTTCTCTGGATAGCTGTTATCCAGTAGAGTCCTTCGCAGAAAGGCCTCTTCTTCTTGGACAGAGTCAGGGAAGCATATATTCCTATCACGATGGAACAGAGTCTTCACCAAACCTCTTTTTACCTACCTCGAAGGGTAAACCTTTCCCTGTAAATCAAAGTTGTTGAACAAAGAGCTCTACTTCTGGGGATTTCGATTCATTACTCTCCTGGTTGTAACCAAAACAACTTCACCCTTTCACTGTACAATGACAGCTGAACCACAACAGTTACATTCTCGTTGCATGTGTCGCTTCCACTACTTTCCACTGCTCCTCTGACTGTACAAAATAGTTGTATAAAACGGTTAATCGCTTACAGGATTCAAAAAGGGAAAGGAATTATGAGTACATTTACTCTGTCGCCTTTGAATACGCATTCCAAGATAAAATTACTGTACTAGATCATCCGTAGCTGACCGTTTTGTGATAAACGATCGAAAGAATGAACTGCATTCAAGGGAATGGCAACACCTGTTATCATTTATCGTAGTTTTACTATCAATACCAAATAACCTTCATAAGCTTCAGAAGTAATTGCCCAAAGAAATAGAATTACAGATTCTGTCAAGTGCCACAGTACCTGTATTTTTAACATTGCAGTAATGAGCAAACTTTTTTCACTACATTTCGCTGTTCACTGGTTAAAGGTAACTTTTCGGAAACCGTTACGCGACTCACGAAACTTTGAGTGGCAAAATTCATGAAACCCCCAGCGGAACATAAACTAGGGGACGAGTGATAAACTAAACTTAAATCGGTAAAAAAAAGCCGATTCTTTAAAAATCAGCGAAACTAGGTGTAAAAACGGGGTAATATAAAACGACACTTAATTGGTGGATCAATGAGTGTAAGAGTTGTATAACCCTTCCCCTTTATCTTAAGGCAACACGGGAAACACGGATTTTCTGACTCATTGGATTTTCGTAGCCCAGTCTCTATCCAAGCCCGCGAACATAGTCCTTATTCCTACTTTTCTTTCAATGTTAGCCTTGAGCGCAAAGAAAAACGACGATTCTGAAGAGAAATCGTCAGAATTCATTCGAGTTGTATAGCGTACTTCCAGGAAACCAAAACGCCTAATTCACCATGATTAGTTTCACCACTTAAGTAATAGGGCGAGAAACCAATGTCTGGGGCTTTAGGTGGATTGACGAGCTACCGATAGCTGAATCGTCCGGATGAGCTGGCAAGCCCTATTTCAAACTGTCTGTGACGAGGTCTATGAACTGACATCCAGACTAGATGTAAGGGCATCGGATCGATTGGGAGCGCTCAAGGACTTGATGCAAAGTTAGGTGATTAACCGGGTAATTATTTTCTAGAAATACTTCAACGTTAATTGAAAGTAGCCAAGGTGAAACTATGACTAATTGCACTCGATTCGAAAAACCAAACTAGGTGTACCTCAAATTCAAATTTTAAATTTTTATTATGGAAAAAACTTACAAAGACTTCGCTTATCAAATCCCATAGGATGTCTACACTTTGGGTTCGGAACACGATTCACAAGATCACAGTTAGTTCATTTACATAAAAGAGTAATATAATGTTTGTGAGTAGCACAGGAGAATATATTATGTTGTTGGGTGTTGAAATAGTGCTGGCCAGGGTATCATCAAGCGACGCTTGGAAGGTACTA